CAAACCATTGGACGGATCTGGCTGAAATTTGGCATACAGATAGCTATTATGATGTAGACGTGCGCTAAGAAAGGATTTTTCGAAATTTTGAATTTAAAGAGTTGAAATCGGTTAGAATTAGAATCAATTAAAAATTATTAAAAAACTATTAAAAACTATTTAAAAACTATTAATTTTATTTTTGGTAGTAAATGACGGGTATTGCATAAATATTAAACAAAAAGATCCCGCAACAGGTGCCAAAACAAATAAGAATGTTAGTTCAAAAAAATTATTATGCATATCGGTTGATGATTAGACGCGATTAGGACTAAGTTATTTTACGATGCATAAGCTTTGTCAACAATTCATGGTCGAAATATATATAAAGATAGACAGCGAACGATTTCGATACTTCGATTTCGATTCAATCAAAAAAAGCTGCGTGCAAAAGATTCTCAAAACAATTGTTAGATATTGGAGATGGGAAAGTTACTACAGATGAAACGGGATGTATAAAATTACCGAACGATTTCTGAACAATAATTTATTCGCAAGATGCTCTCATTGACCAGATATGTCCCAGTGTACACAGACAATACACAAATCACGAGTGGCTGACAGAAAGAGCAATTTTAGTAGCAAAAAATGTGGAGGTCAACGAATTGAATCTCAAGATACAAAATTTGTTACTAGAAAACTTGGTGTCATACAAATCTAGATACAGTTTGCGATGCTACTGAAGTTGTAAATTATCCAACAGAGTTTTTAAACTCATTGGATTTACTAGGCATGCCACCGCATAATTTACAATTGGTCATTACAATTTACCATCGATAAAATACCTCCTTCAGAGTCATTTAAAGTTGTAATATATGCAGATAAAAAACCACCAGAAGAACATAGAGACAGGTATAATGCACCAACGGCAAATGAAGTTGCTTTAGTGTTAGTAGATCAGCAGTTTGATAGAAGAGAACCGAAGTAACTCACTTCACCGTATCGGTGAGATACATCGAGCATACGACGTACTGCAGTATCCTTTAATGTTTTGTTGGGGGGGATGATGGGTATTCAATCAATATACCACAACGCGATTCAAAAACCAAGTTACCGCTTAAAAAAACTGTCTCTGCATCAAGTTTTTACTCATATAGAATAATGGTCAGAGAAGGGGAAGACAACTATTTAGTTAATTATCGTTCTCTTTTCAGTCAATATTTGGTAGATAAATACGCCAAAATTGAAACTGAAAGACTAAATTACATTAAAAACAACCAAGTCAAATTGCGTGCAGATAGTTATATTCATTTAAAAGATGCGATTGGACGACGAGACATAGAAGCTAATCAGTTAGGCCAAATGGTTATACTCCCGTCAACTTTTACTTGTGGGCCAAGGTACATGCACGAAAGAACACAAGATGCCATGACCTACGTTAGACATTACGGTCGTCCTGACCTTTTTATTACTTTTACATGTAATCCTCGCTGGGACGAGATAAAAGAGCTCTTATTTCCCGGTCAAAGATCATATGATCGACATGATATAATTGAAAGAGTGTTTCGGTTAAAAGTCAAAAAGACCATGAACTTATTGACAAAAGGTAAAATATTCGGAGAAGTGAGATGCTATATGTATTCAACAGAATACCAAACTGTAGAGAGGTTCAGGTAGTTGTAAGCTATAACTTATCGAATAGGTTATGATAATAATCATTATCTTAAAAACTAAATTAATATGTATAAAATATTATTTCAAAAATCTTAATTAATTTAAATTTCAATAGATTTAACAAAATTTAATCTTGGCACGTTACATACATTTATATACTTAAACCCGGCAACGACGGGTAATTCAGCTAGTTTATTATAAAATATAAAAGTTTGTTTTAATCAAAACATACTTCAATCACCGCGGTTACCTTATGGTAATATGGTAATATAAATATTTTCAGGCACACTATATTATCATTAACAAGAGCCACAAACTTAATTTGTCAATTGTTGGGGAATGTGGAATGAATTTGTTGACGAACAAAAATGCGACCCCCCCACCGCAGCACGGTCAATGCTTGTAATAAATATTTTTTTGAAGCTCTTAATCGTGGGAATTTTTATCGACGACGTTTGGATAGGACAGGTGTCATTAATCGATAGTAGAATTGTTAAAAAAAAAATAGCTTTGGGCCGAATTAGGTAATTTCAACGAATCAACTTTTTTGTAGTTACCACTGGAGACGATTGTTGATACCTCTTTTATAGAACAATTCTCGTATTTGACGTCGATTTCATTCGTGTAGTGCTCCTTACCACAAACTGACTGTGCAATATATTAATTTCAAATCTAACGAGAATAAACCTTATTGTTTTTAAATATTACATTTAGTGCAATCGATAAAATTATAAAACAATGAAAAACATTGGGGCAAGATGTATCTGCATTGTGATCGGCCATCTGCAAGTTAAGGAGATGATCTATACCACGACGAGATGCTCACTTTGCAAGAAAATATGTCTGTTAAGAACCTGTAAGATGGTTAAATGTATCGGTAAGGCAGACATGTATGACTAGTGATAAGATTCTGCTATAAAAGACAACAATTTCTAAAATATACCATTTTATCGTTGAAACCCTCACTTTATTTTTGGCGTACTCCCGGGGTTGAACAAAATACTGTACTCTAACTAAAACTTTAAATGTTCATGGTTTACAGCGTGCAAGCGCGTATTGCACAAAAGGTGTTTTGCGGTGTACAAAAAACGGTTTGTACGCACACCGTCCGGCGGTATAGAGGTCGACCAACGATCCAGTAAACACGTCATGGCGTTGGCCATTTTGCATCGTAGCCACCAAACGGTCACTGACATGGCATACACCGAAACGCAAAAGTCAGAGGACCGCGGACAAGATGCAGTGATGAGGACTGAAATATCATGGCTCTGGAACAAGGAGAATTCGGCGGTGTTCGAAATGAAAGTAGAAGTGAAGCTGCGGGAAAAGCATTACGTAGAATATTATCAACTGGACATAAAAAAGAAGTTATGGAACGACATATTAATGGATCTGATGCCAAAAAAAGAAACGATTAGTCAAAAACGTGATGACAGCGGTGATAACGTTGGAAGTCGAAGCACACTTTCGGAGCACAAACCTTATCATAGTTCTTATGTTAAATAAAGAAGTCGGATAATGTAAAATTGTAATCAAATATGTAAGTGAATCGAAACAGTGCAGATTGAAGCAAAGTATTTTCGTAATACCTGATATTAGCTTATACAAAATACGACGGAGAAGTAATAAAATCATTAAAAAAAAATAATTTGACGGTATTCGAAATACAGTATTCAGAATACTCGTTATGAGTATTCAAAATACTTTATTGAAAACTTTCGAAAAAAGTATTTAAAAAGTATTCGAAATACTTAAAAAATATTCTGAATACAGTATTTCGAATATTGTATTCGGAATAGTATTCAAGTCTGGTGTTTTTTGAACGTATAATGTAATTAACTCGCTACGCAATTGACTCGAAGATCACATTGATCTTTAAAAACACAGTAATTTTAAGGATTAATGTAGTTTCCAAATCGACCTTGTAGTAGGGAATAACTTTATACGTTCAACAATTAATATCTCGTACAATACATATCTCTTATGCCACGATATACCTTACTTTGTCTTGCATACAATTTAAAAACATAAATAAAGAAGCCAATGGCGTGCAGTGCTTCCAAGTGGCTCTTCATCCAAGAACTAAATGTACATTCCAAGGCACCAGTGTTTTAACTTTATAACAGTACCATTAATTTTTTTTTTATCTTTACGAATGATATCTGATGATATTAAAACTAAACGATGAACCAGTTTTGATAAATTTGTATGGAAAATTACATAGTACTATTTTTTATCGGTCTTGGCGCTTATTACATATATTTTTTACTTTTTTTCTACCACTTTTGGCACAAATTATCTACTCTCCCATGTTGATGTTCACCAGTCATTGTCTTGAGATTATGTTCGAAAACAATTTCACATTCAATTGTTGTTCGGGCAACGATGGGTTTTCCGTTTGTTCACGGTGTATCGGTGTATCGGCGGTGTCGCGTCTAGAACATTCTAGAAGTGCTCGCCGCCGCCCCCCTATCTACCCGCGCCGAGATAACAACCGGTCGCGTGTGTGGTCTTACTACGACCTTTTCTTTCTGTTTTAGTTCGGCACGGACGGCCTACGCGAGTGAAACGGCGTTTGTGTCGCCTTGTCGTCGCGGTCATTTTTGTTCGGTGTGCTTTTGCGTACGCGCGCACAAAATGTGTTCGTTTGTGTCGCCTTATCGTCGCGTTCTTGGGGTCGGTCCCACCGTCATTTTTCGTTGTCGTGATCGCGTATGCGTTGCCACATCGGACTCCGCGGTCGTTGTTGTGCACGGCCATATTGTACCGCGGGAGGGCGGTCCTGTTTGGTGATCCCATCGATGCCATGTTATATCCGGTCGCGGTCGTCATCAACCACCAACGCGGTCGGGTGACAGTCGGATTTCGGTATCGTTTATCAAGGATTATCCTTATCATCATAATAATATTATTATCATATTTGTTTCATTATCAATAGATAATATTCTGATTTTATTATATTGTTGTAAGTGGGCGCCTTACTTTTTTTATTATTATTAATTATTACAAATATGTAATGTAAATGCAAAATACAGTCCATTCTTTTGTATACATAAAGCTCATCGGAGTTTTATATTTATAATCATATAACTTTTGTTAATCCCATTTCCGGTATCATTGATACACGGTTCCACTCGGGAACCGGGAAACGGGAAGTGGTCTGTACAATTGTAATATATTTGGTGACATTTAATATGTCACCCTAAACGGCACCGGGTGATTTGTACCCTCGGTAAGCTGGAAAAGGATAAACAAAAAAAAAAAAAAAACTTTCGATACAATATTATAATTTATTGAATGAACTTAAATAAAATGAACAAATAATAATAATAATAAAAAAAAATTTATGATAATCTTATTGTACGTTGAAATGATTAAAAAAAAAAAAATTATAATATTAATAATAATAATGAACAAACGTTTTGTTCTTCGCTAATAATACTAATGGTAACGATACAACTAAATGCGTGAATATGTATGGTGAATTGTGTATTTCTGTACGACGTCTTATTCCAATATTTTTGTGGATAATAATAATCGATTGTCTAATCGTTCAGTAATATCACGATGATATGCAAAATACCCGATAACAGGTACCGGTTCGAATGAGCGACCGGTTAACCGTTGGTAATGAAGGGATCCTGGAAGAGTGTGGGGGTGTGCGCGGACGAGGACGTTGGCGCATTCTAGACCTTGAGGATGACCAGGTCGCCGTCGTCGGTGTTGCCGACGGATGACTTGGGCGACTCTGACTCGAACAGCGACTGCGCCTGAGAGGCGAACGCACCAGGGTACTCGAACGACGGGCTGGCCTTGGGGTACGTGTAACCGGCGGCGGCCGTCGGGTAGGCTAACGGTTCGCTGGGCCGGTCGTACGAGTAGCCGGCCGACGGGGCCGGAGCCGCGGGGGCTGAGACTACGCCGTAGTCGGTAGACGGCACGCCCAGCGACTCGACGACCACATTGTGCTGCTTGTGGCCGCAGTCAGCGGTGGCAGCCTTGGCGTGCGGCTCGGGCAACACCACGATCTCGTTCTGGCGGGTCTCAACCACGGGCTCCGGTGTGGTGGTCGGCTCGGGCGTGGTGCTCGTGGTTGTGATTACGGGGCGGGGCCGGTGCTTGTCGCAGTTCTCGGTCGCCGGTGCCGGTTCGTTGTATGAAGGGAAGCGTGGGGCCGGTGGGAACGCGGGGAACGCCGGTTTCCTGGGCGACGCGGCCACGATCTCGTTTTCCGATGACCTGGGCTGCGAGGGCAGTGGCACGAACTGCGGCACCAGGAACGTGGGTTGTGGCTGCTGGAACTTGGTGATCTCCACGCGGTACGGTGGCAACAGGCCAGCGTCAATCTGGTGCACATGGCCGGGCTTCTCGCAGTTGGGTTTAACCGGTTGCACCACGGACACGGTGTTCGAGGCCTCCGCGGGGTAGTACGGGCTGGGCGGTATATACAATGGGGCCGAGGTGGTCGGCCGCGGGGTGGTTGTAGTCGTGGTCGTGGTGGTCGTCGTCGAGGTGGTGGTCGGTTTCGGTGGCGGCAGGTACAGCGGTGCCTCGTACGACGGCGCGGGCTTCAGGACGGCTGGGATCGCGTTGGACGCTTGGCCCTCTGGCGACGGTGGGCCCACCCGCTTGCCGAACACGTACGTGCCTTCCGGCACGTTGGGCCGGATCTGTTCGCCGGGCAGGTTGTACAGGTACCGGTAGAACGACAGCGAGCACGGAGTACTGGTCGGCACACGTTGCGCGTACACGTGGCACGAGACGGCCACTAACATGAGAAACGACGCTTTGCCGAACGCGTTCATGGTTTCACGTGTATCTAGAAAACAAAGTTGAAACGTTTGCATTAGTGGCTTGTTCTGAGACGATCGATATTAATAATCATAATAATAACGTGTAAAAAACGGCGGTTGAACACAGTGCCTGACTCGATAAAATTAAAGAAGAAGGACTCTGTTTACTTTAAAAAAAAAAAAATAACATCCTCAAGACTTTTGAAGCGTTATAATTACAATGTAAAAATAGTAGAGGGACACTAAAATTTTTGAAAATTAGGTAGGGTACTCCGTCCCCTCAAGTCAAATACTGGTTGAACATTATACGACCGTAACAAATACTTAACACAGGACGGAACGGCAAAGTTTTGGCATTTAGAACCGAGATCTATCCGAATGCGGTTAGAGGTCGGCACGAATCGTTTTTAATATTATTTTTTTTTTTTTTTTAAGATCATAAATTTTTAATGATGAGCACTCTTCGACCGGTTGTTGCAATATGACGGTCGAAGTGTAATCAAATAAATTTAACGTCATGAGCTATGAAGCCCAGTAGTTTTATTTCGTCCATAAACATTTAGACGAAAAATATTTAAGACCACCCATGATACTGTTTACATTTTTACAGTGCGGCAGGAATAAAACTGGTATGAGTCGGAAAAATGAAACGGAATTCGTTGCACGGTAAAAAATTGGTGTTTTTACGATCCGTGCAAAAGACGAGATTTTCGTTTTTTTTTTTTCGTACTTCGTTTTATGTTTAGTATCCCCCACGTATATCAAGCTTAGAATTTATCCCACATAATACTACACACCAAAAAACAACTTGTTGATCGGTTCGATCGATAAAAAATGTTGAATAGGCAATATCTACTTGTTGATCGTTAAATTATTAAACGTTATACGTTAGCGAAAAGAAGTTGAAAAATATAATAAATTCCAAAAGTCATATCTAAAATATACTTTAAAATTTTAATGGAACAAAGGAATAAAACGTAGATAATGTACTTTAAAATTTTTCAAATATTTTTAAAAAACTTAAATTAGAATTATTATTACATATTGATATTTTATTTAAATTGCTTATATCAGTTTTGGGTTTAAACTATAAACTTATAACCAATTATAAGGTCCCAACCGTTCATTAAACATTTTCCAAACAAAATAATCATTGGTTTTGTTCTCGGGCTTTTCATTAATTTCGCGTTTGTACTAAAAGCTCTGGGTGTGACATCGTTTTAATTTTGAACCGTAATTTTAAATGGAAAGTTAAATATTTTAAATGCCTCTTTATAAGTTCTCTCCCGTAGAGTCTTACGACGTATTATCCATAATTTATTGAACGGTTGAGTGCAACGGCTAGGTGATGGCCGTTTTCAGTATGAACACAACTGACTCGAAACAACCGATGCGTGAGTGAAATACAATAAGATGATAACGTGCTGTGGTGTCTAAGTCGATCTTTGTGTGTCAATGTTTTATGAAACGGTTTTGAAAATCATACGGGAATACACTACGTAACTACGTAGTCGCAACTTTACGATATTTCACAAATGTTTGACACTTAACCATAGGCGCGACTAGAGGGTGGGATTAGAGAGCTTAGCCCTTCTAAATATTTTCATAGCCCTCCCAGATTAAAAATAAATGAATCTCATAATTTTGTGTTTGAGTTAAAATCTAATCAACTATAATCTCGGTACGCAAAACAATAATTAAGTTTGACAATTTTTCTTATTCAGTGTATTATTACTATTGCTTTACTTAGGAATATCCTAAATTAAAATTTGTTTCACAAAATCACAGTTTTTCATCTTCTCGCTAAGCCTATATTGGTGAGTAGTGACAAATCTTGTCTGTTTGTGGGAAGCGGTAGGCGAAGTCACACCAAAGTTTTTACAACGATTCGTTTGTTCAGCGCGGAATGCACATAAACACCTACACCTTAAGGGTGAACGTGGACAATCAACTACTGGTCACTTTAATGGTACGTGATTTTAAATCGGCCGAGAGGTACCTCTATTAAATTGCGAGAATCGCCAAATAACCGACTAGAACATTATTGCTATTATTATTATTGTCCTTGCTATCGGAAAACGGTACTCGATTTTAAAAGCCGAGTGAGTTGTCTTTTGGTTTCTTTACCCGTTAGACCCATCATGTTTGGTTTCTGTTATAACCAGTATAACGAGCCGATAAATCGGCGCACAAACGACTGACATGTAAAACGTATTCGCACGCATCATGGCATCCGAATCGTCATATATCCTTGTACTCGTAGACACGTGGATTGCCGGGTGTGTCAGGGTACCCTTTAGAAATATTGTAAATGGGGCACTACTATTTAAGTAGGGTAGGGACCTACATTTCAACTGATCTTGTTGAAACTAAATGTATTTTATTCTAAAATATTTGATTGAAAAAAGTGATGTTTCGTAATGGAATAAACAAAATTAAATTTTCAAAATGTTGGTGTAAAAACTTATTATGATAATATAGCAGCTACAATTGACTGCAAAAGTATGGATCATAATCTATCAAAAAAAATGTATGAAACTCAAATATCCATCAGGACTAATATACTACAATATTAAAAGAAAAAGATAAAGTTATGTTTATTTAATTGTTTATACATTAAATATCTTATTGGTATATCGTATTTGAATATATCTACACGTTTTGTTAAAATAGGACCTAAAAGTATTGTAGACACCACGCCTATGCTCGTACTGTATGGTTATCTGATTGCGAAAAAATGACCGTAGACGCTTGGGTGCATATGGAACGGTTTTGGACGTTAACTATTTATTACTCTTCTCTTCGCCATTCCGAACGTTGGCGTTAAACTTCGTGCAGCTGAATCCGTATGAAAATGAATCGCTTTTGAAACTTTCGTTATCATATTTATTCAAATATTATTTTGGAAATAACGTGTATTCTTGGATTGGACGATCGTTGTGCAGAAAAATTGTAAGCGCATCTGTTCGCACGTTATGTGTTAATTCATCGTCAAAACATTTTCTTTTATAATACACGAGCCCGGTAAACTGTTGTAATAAAATCGATTTCGGTTGCGAGCCAGTAAAGTAAAATTATACAGCACAAGTAGTCGAAAGTACGAAATTTCACAGCGACAGATACGCATTACCAAATTAAGTATTTAATTATACTCGAATTTGTGATACGGTTAAGTTAACCGACGCGATTCGGTCTATCGTTCAGTTTACCGAACAAATATTATGTCTATGTTTAAACGATAATCACCACCTTGCACTAGAGTGTATTGTAACGCAATACCATCTGCGGTTGTAGTACGATTGATGCGTTTATGGCTTATTAATTCAAAAATTCATATGAGATCAAGTAACAAATAATCATCCTTGTACTAGTGCCATCGGTCTGTGGTACGGGTTGAAAATGTCAAACTAACTGACCTTTATGGTTTAATCTTACAACGGTAACGATTATAAAACTGTTACAGCGACACTTCGACGTGTAATAAAAATAAAAAAAATTTAATATATTATATTCCTCTACGTTTCACATCATGTGTGTAACGCGATACGTTCGGCTATTAGATTTATATACGACCGTGTACTGTATACAGCTGTTATAGGCAACGTCGATGCGAACGGACCGCAGTGCCGTATGATGATTTTCGGTGTACATATCATGTTCTTAGATAACATTACACGACAGGTGAAGAGCGAACCTGCTAATAATCTCTCTGACATCGGCTTTTTTCCATAACCGTTTTGTCGTCCCGGATTTCGGAACGGGTTATTCGGGTTTTGATTTTGGCGCAATATCGGGAAAAATATTGCACACGATCATTTGATCGAAAACCACGGAAACCTGTTGTAATAGTAGTAGTAGTAGAAGTAATACCGTAACACGTGTGCGGGGGAAGATTATTTATTTAAAATTTTTTTTTTTATGAAATTATCGATTTTTTCTTCTTTTTTTCCGACCGCCGTACATATAATTTCGGTTTTATGCAACGCAGTTGTGTAACGTTCCATCGGAATTTGTCGCATTGGTCCTCCAACACGTTGATAACACAATATTGTCCATCGGCGGCGGTGCGCTATTTCATCAACAGGATTCGAGCCTGCACTTCGAAGAACACACGTGTGTATGTACCAGAAGTACACAAAGACCTTGGCCCGGTGATGCATTTTTTCTAGTTTTACGTAATATTTTTTTTTATTTTTTTTAACTTATAGTCTACACTGTAATGACTTGAGTGTCGCGCACAATGCCGTCTCGGACGGTGAATCCAAGTGCAAGTAGGTTCGTTCTTCGGGACGGTTTCAGAACGGACTGCTGTTTATCCGAGGGAGGACGACCAATAAACGTCGATACGACTTTGGTGTATTTCATTTCATCCACATCGAAAGCGATCGACTCGTTTTCCACGATCGTCGCGTATACGGCTGCGTTTCGACCTGAAAATCTAGGGCACGGTGCGAACGGGTTAATGGGCGGGTGGGGAGAAGGTGAGTTTTGGCCTGCCACGGTGATCGCCTGTGTGTAGAAAACCGTCGAGAACCCAGTAACAACGTTATACAATTTTTTCCCTCGCCCGCCGCCCGTGTGCAAGGTGTCCGTCACGCGATAGGTATTGTGTTAAATGAATACCCGACCGGTATCGCAAACATGATCCCCAAAAGAACCACGTCCGTTGTTTGCAAAGCATTCGTGTTTCGGCTAAAAGTATCCCTCGAAGTCGCCGAGAGTTTTCAGCCGTCGCCGTTCTCAAGTGGGAAAAAGGGTTCTGATTCAGCCGGTCAGGGATCGCGAACCATTCTCGAAGTCCCGGCGTGTTTCGGACGTAACTCGATACCTCTCGTACGGAAAAATGGTCGCTGCTGACGCGGATGGAGTGAGATTCGTGCTCCGGACACGTCTTCTTTCGGATCCACAGCCATCTTGGGGAGGTGAGGAACGGAACTCGTGTTTCGATATCGGATACACGTGCAAGTGCAATATTACACCAACGGTTGTTTATTGTTCGATCGTGCACGCGGTTTTTGGTCGAGCG